GGGTATAAGGGGACTGTCTCCACTCTCCTACGATCTCCTGCCTGAGAGCTTGACCATTGTGTGCGGTAAAGAACTGTAGGGGTCTTCATTACATGAAGACCTGACGGCATCACAGCTGTTGGTTTAAGCTGTCCCCTCATTGACTGTGCCTTAAGTGTATCCAGACAAGACCTACCACGGGTCTGAGGGGTCTGTCTCCACTCTCCTACGATGTCCTGTCTGAGAGCTTGAGCATTGTGTGCGGTAAAGAGCTGTAGGGGTCTTCATTACATGAAGATCTGGCGGCATCACAACTGCTGGTTTAAGCTGTCCTCTCATTGACTGTGCCTTAAGTGTATCCAGACAAGTAGCGGGGTGAGCCACTAAATGAGCCACAGCAGAGTCCCCTCAGAAGCCATGAAATTACTCTAAGTTGGCTGCCCTCCACTCCCTCATATATTCTATATACATCAGAAATATGGCAGCCCTTTTGGTTCCCTATCTGTGGAATGATCAGTGTCTTCGCTCCTTTCTGCTTAGGGGGGCCAGGAGGATAGATATCTCCTTTAAGGTCCTTACTGTGGTGTAATGACCAAGAGTACAGGGGTTGGGTCAGGTCTCATGGTCTTGAACTCAAGCTCTGTCATTTGTTGGTTGTGTAATTTGGGGCACATAAGGTCACCTTTCTGTGCCTTCAATAAAATGAGAATTATAACAGGGGCTGTATCATGGGTGCTTAGTGTCATGCCTGGCAAATGGTAAAAACTGAACAAAATGATTTGCCATTGTGTTATTATTGTATGCAACTATTTCTATATTATTACATGCAACTGTTATCATTATTGTGAACATCTTTACGACATTACCCAGTTTGGAGGCAGATGGATCTGATATTTAGAAAATAATATTGAAATTTGCAACAAATCCAGAAAGTCCTCAGAAGTAAGAAAGGGCATGGAAAGAGAGGAAAGGAAATAACAGTAAAAGAGTAATGGGGCAAGACAAATTTTCAGCACTTGAAACCATTTCTAGCTAGTACATAGTAATTTCTCCTCTCTCCATTTATTTATTATTTCTATATCCATATATATCAAATATATATATTTGAATGCTTAAATGGTGACCCAATTCAGACCTATTGGCTAAGTCTCCAATTCTATCACTCCCCTCCTTGGTTATCCATCCACAAACGCAGCAACTTCTCTGTGATTCACATGGAGTGAGTTTCTTAGGTGATATCATTAAAAGTATAATAACTCAGGATTTTCCTATGAATGGAAAAGTGCATATTGGTAATGGAATTGTCATTCGTCTCTGCCAATAGTAATGTTTTGAAAGCCATGACTATGAGTGACCCTAAGGCTGTGCCAGAGCAGGGCATGGTCCCCAATGCCCTGGATTCATTTTATAAGCTGATTTTGCCTTTGTTTTATGACACCAATGATTCATTTCACCCAAATTATCCTTTCGTTCGTTGTTGATTTACTGTGTTTTGCTGAACACTTTCCTATGGATTAATATTGATGGTGGGAATCCTTGAGAGCCAAGCCAATATAGCAAAAGCTTCCCAAGGTGTATACTGATGCTCTTCTCCTGTTGATCTAATTAAAGATCATAATGCCTAATCTAATTAGTTCAGTTGGTTCTGTCAGGATAATTATTGCACTTTTAGGCATGCAATCACCGCAGCTAAACTGCTCTGTGGTAACAAATTGTGATTCTGAAGGAACTGACTTTCAGGGTACAAATATGTGCATCAACTAGGGCTTTATAGAATTTTTCTTTTTTAAAGCAATTGGTGCTTGCTTTCTTCTAAGACTTTCTCTATCAATCACTGATTTGTGGAACATGCTTTAAATTCTTGATTTAATTGTCCAGAATATGGGTGTAGGGGCTGGTGACAATACTTCAGTTAGGATGATGATGAGCACTTTCTTTTATTGGACGAGAGAGAAAAAGGAAAAATGGGAAAATGTAAAGGTATATGAGAAAGCAAAAGCATATAAGATCTAGATCCCATGACAAAAGATTCGCTTTGGGAAGAGAGGAATGAGATCAGTAGAGCTGTTGGGAGGTTTGGAGATTCAGTGAGAGCAAGATTCTCATTGGAAGTTCTAGTTTCTCAATGAAGCCTGAAGTCAAGTCATTATGTGAGAGGAGGGAGGATTAAGGGCAATGATAACAATAACAACAACAAGAATAATATTAGCAACAACAGTAGCCTACATTCATTGAGTGCTTCCCATATATCAAGTAATTTTATAATCATTTTGCATTTATTAGCTCTTAATCTTCCCAACAACCTTACAAAGTTGGATTGGATCTTGCAGAGCAGAAAAGCAAACTCTGTAGAGAAACATCATAGAATGTAAAATCAGTATCCTGGTTTTATTTTCTGTCTAATGTTTTTAGCAACTCGAAGAAGGCAGATGGCTCATTGCATGTTTGGTTGGATTTTGCTAGACAAATATGGTGGGAAGAGAAAAGAAATTAAAGATATTGAGTATGTTGGCATTTGGAAGCAGGTAAAAAAAATGCTCAACATCACTAATCATCAGAGAGATGCAAATTAAAACCACAATGAGATATACCTCACACCTGTCAGAATGGTTATCATTAATAAATCAACAAGCAACAAGTACTGACCAGGATGTGGAGAAAAGGGAACCCTCATGCACTGCTGGTGGGAATGCAACCTGGCGCAGCCACTGTGGAAAACAGTATGGGGCTTCCTCTAAAATTAAAAATGGAATTGCCTTTTGACTCAGCAATCCCACTCCTAAAAATACAAAACACCAAAAAGAAATAGTATATGCATCCCAATGTTCAGAGTAGCATTATTTACAATAGTCAAGATCTGGAAGCAGCTCAAGTACCTATCCGTAGATGAGTGGATAAAAAGTTGTGGTACCTTTACACAAGGAAATACTACGTAGCTGTGAAAAAGAAGGAACTCTTACCTTTCGCAACAGCATGGATGGACCTGGAGATGATGCTAAGTTAAACAAGCCAGTCAGAGAAAGACAAATATCATATGATCTCACTTATATGTGGAATCTAATGAACAAAATAAACTGCTAAACAAAATAGAACCAGAGGCATGGATACATGGAGCAGACTGACAGCTGTCAGAGGGGAGGAGAGTGAGGGGGACTGGATGAAAGAAGGTGAAAAATTAGCCAAAGAATATGTATATGCATAACCCATAGACATAGACAACAGTGAAATGATGGTCAGAGGGAAGAGGGTGAGGGCTGAGTGGAGTGGGCAAACGGGAGAGGGGCGGGACGGGAGGGGGGATGGGGACATCTGCAATAGTGTTGACAATGAAAAGTTTGGGGTATTTTTTTAAATTGATTTTATTGATTTTTTTACAGAGAGGAAGGGATAGGGATAGAGAGTTAGAAACATCGATGAGAGAGAAGCACCGATCAGCTGCCTCCTGCACACCCCCTACTGGGGATGTGCATGCAACCAAGGTACATGCCCTTGACCGGAATCGAACCTGGGACCCTTCAGTCCCCAGGTCTACGCTCTATCCAGTGAGCCAAACCAGCTAGGGCAATGGGTATTTTTTTAAAGAAGATATGGCTAAAGAATATGAAGAAAGTGGTGATGTTTGTAGCTGGAAGTATAGGAATTTTTAGCCACAGGAAGCTGGCATTCGTGATGTTTGTAGATGGGGCAGTACTCAGCGATGAGTTCTAAGGTGTGACCCTCCGGTGGTAGCTGAGGTGCAGAGGAGGTGAAATGATAGACATGATCGTGTCTGTGTTTGGAAAGATGAGCAGCATGGAAGGGGGTAAGCCTGGAAGCAGGGAGACAATTGGAAAAGAGTTTGAATCATCAAGGAGAGAGATCACACAGCTTGGCCAGGGTGGTGGCAGTGAGGACACAGGTAAGGAAGCAGGGGAGTTGTGGAAACATTTAGCAGGTAGGATGGTGAATGGATTCAGTGGGTTTGACTGTGTGGGGGTCAGGGAAAGGGATGCAACAAAGTGATGGCCCGCTTCTAAGTCTAGATCCTGGTCTAAGCAGCTGGGTGAATGCTCATTTGGTCTAATCACACACACAAAAAGGACTGGGAAGGACAGAAACAGTGAATTGAGAGTAGGAGAGCTTTTACAAGTCAGAGAAACAGAAGTATCACATGATCTCATTTAAATGTGGGATCAAATAAAATAAACTGGCAAACAAAATAGATCCAGAGACATGGAAGCGTGGAGCAGACTGAGAAATCTCATAGGGAAGTGAGGAGGATGGTGGTGGGAAGAGATTAACCAAAAAATGTATATGTATATATGCCTATTTGGACACAGACAATAGTGCATTGAGGCCTGGGGAGGGGCAGGAACTGGGAGAAGGGGATCAATGGGCGGGGGGAGATATCTGTAATACTTTCAATAATAAAGATAAATTTTTTTTTAAAGGTTTAAGATAAACCAAGGTTTCTCTGTGATATAAAGACAGGATCCTTAGACACTGCTTTCATTTTTTTAAAAATATTCTTTTTTATTTTTCAATTACAGTTGGCATTCAACATTAAATTAGTTTCAGGTGTACACCATGGTGATTAGACATTTATGTAACTTACAAAGTGATCTCCCGATAAGTCTAGTACCCACCTGACACCGCACATAGTTATTACAATATCATTGACTATAGTCCCTGTGCTGTACTTGGATGTTGCTTTCCGTGTTTGACCTCCTGGAAGGAGAGTTTTACATTTGACAAAGATGCTAATGGACTCAAATAAGGTCTGTGGGAGGGAAGAGTGTTGAAAGTGGAGAAATGAACGCAAAAGTTAGGGAAGGTGTTATAAGGACTGAGCTAAGACCTCATTAGGACTAGAAAAAAACTGAAGTGGTGCTCCCTGGCCAGGCTGGGTAGCGTGCTGAGCCACATTATAAATAACAGCAGGTAAGAAGTACAACCACCCTTACTGTTCCTCAGAGTTGTGGTCATTGGCATTGTCTCTGTTGCATATCCTCAGTTTGAATCACCTTGGAATAAGAAAACCCTCGGGAAGTTCTCCATCTCCTTACAGCAGCATGAAGGATCTCATTGGGTTGCCACTAAGAGAGCCCCACTCACAAGAGATTAAACAAAACATAGGAATTCAATAGATGGCTGGTGGTGAGAGGCTTGCATGGAATCTAAAGAAAATGTTAAGAAAAGTAGATTTTAAGAAAGGTCAGGGTGGGGACCAGGACAGCTCTCCCCTCTCAGCAGCTATGTTATGCATTTCACCTGTAGTTCTCTACCCATTTTTGGTACTTATTCATTCACTCAGCAAGTATTCGTTGAGCATCTATTATGGGCCAGGCTCCATGCCAAGTACTGAGGATACAAAAGTAAAAATGACCTCACCCCTCAGAGCCTGGAGTCTGCTGGGCGATGTGGCCATTGCCCAAACAGTCACACGAACTGATGTATAATTGCAGCTGTGGCTACTGTTAGGGCAGAATGGCACAGCAGGCAATGACAACCAGCGGTGGACAAATTTGACCCCGTCAGGGAGGTGAGGGAAGGTTTGCTTGAGAAAGTAACCATGGAAATTATATTAGAAAGATAGAGTAGAGGAGGAGAGTAGAGGCTCTCGTGTTCCAGGCACAGGGAACAGCCTGTGCAAAGGCCCTCTAGAGGGTACATGGTGGGCTCAAGGGTCAATGAAGGCCGGCATGGCTGCAGTACTAAACAGAAGGTGAGATGGCATGAGATGAGACCCTGTAGGTCCATGATGGGTAAGGCCAGACTAACCACGTTCTTATTCCAAAAGCCACAGTGAAGCACAGATATGTTAGAAGCAGGAGCCAACCCTGGTCCAATCCTCTAACACGAGGTGGGGTCACATGTCAGGAACAAATGAACTGGACAGATCCCCCAAATTGCTTTTACTTCAATTCTCATGGTGCCATCACTTTCCATGGTATGAAAATCCAAAGACTACCACCGTCCCCTAAATGATCCCAACATCCTTTAAAAAAGGCAGCATCTGGGGAATGAGAAAGGCAAGGGATTTTGGGAAAGACACGTGGCCAGACCATTTGTGTGCCTGGGGGCATGTGTCTCCTCTGTAAAATGAGCGGTCATGACAGCAGCCACTGTGTCCTAGGCTGGCTCACCACAGACGCATTTTAACGTCACTTTAACCCCACGGGCTAGAAATCCCCTCCACTTTATAAACGTAAAAATGAAGGTTGAGTATACTTTAAGCCAGGAATAACTTCAATGTCTATACACCCTTCATCATTTTCCTCCCCAAATGTCATAATCCTCTACATCAAATGAGTAATTATTATCATTATCATTCTGAACAGAAATAATAGCAGTGTTCAATTAATAATATAATTACTACTGATAGCTAAGACGTATAGTAAAGCATGTGCCAGGATCTAAGCACTCCCATATAATCATTCATTTAACCCTCCTAACAACCTGAGATAAAGTAGTATTACTTGACCAGGCTATGTAAGTAGTAGAGCCATAACTTAAACCCCAGTGGGCTGGTCTCAGAATCCAGGCAGTTAAATATCATGCTGTTCACATTCTCCCTCTCCTCTCCTCTCCTCTCCTCTCCTCTCCTCTTCTCTCTCTCTCTCTCTCTCTCTCTCTTCTTCCTTCCCTGTCTCTCTCTCTCAGTCTTTCAGTCTCTGTCTCTCTGCCCTTTTATCCACCAAAGGGAAGAAAAACCACTATGTCTATTATTGGTAAATTCTTATCTCAATGTATTTTTTAAGTGAAACAACTGTATGGTGTTTTTGCTATTATTATTGTCTCCATTTTATTAAATAAGAAACGGAGTCTCAGAAAGGTGGGTTCCTCATTCAAGATAATAGACTATAAATAAAGGAATCAGGATTCAAATCCAGGCCTGTTTGACCCCAAAGCTCTGTGGATATTAGGACATGAAAATAATTTCCCATCATCCTCTTCCCACTGGTTCCATCTCAGCCTTTCTTGAATGAATGTTGGGACCCTTGTGGGGGAAAAAAGACAAAAACAAACAAACAATAATAACCATATGTTAAAAATTATCTATTGGCCCTTAAGTCATGCCAGCTCCCACTCCATGACACCCATACACCAGCTGTGTCCCCATTTTCAAAAAGAGGTCACAACATGGCATTAATCTCCAGTATTCTCTGCATTAGTTATCATCCCTGGCGTGGAAATGAGTTATTTAGATTGTTAGTAGCTAACAGTCCCCATAAATTGCAAGAGGAGGTTTAGCAGGTGGCAGGTGGCAGGTGACACTATTTTGCTCTCTGCCATACTGTATCTGTCTCTCTCTCTCTCTCTCTGTGGCTGCTGGAACCCTTCCCAGCAGCTCCCTGTACCAGGCAGCCATGAATTATACACGCGCTTTCTAAAGTTTGATGAAAGTTCTCCCACCTATTACATTTCCAGGTTCCCAAATCTAACATAAATCTAATCCAAACACGCTTAGGAAAATATTGTGCCATTTGTTCTTCTATGATCGTGCCTTTGCCTTTATTGTATCATGTATTCAAAGTGCCGGGAGCTTCTGCTTGCTAGATATTCTCCTGGGGGTTACAAACCAGTCAAATGAGTCTGCAACATGGCTTGGAGATGTTCAAAACCCAGAAAACACAGGCTCCATCATTTCACCCCATCACGTGGGAGGGAAGCTGCCACTGCCCCAGAATAACTAGCAGAAAAAGACGGGACCTACCACCAAGAAGCCAAACTTCCAAATAGAAACCCCACAGCAGAGAAAGTTTGAGTCATTACTACATCTAAGAAAGCTGGGGCCACTTCCCAAACCTTTCACTGGTTTACTAGCCTGTGGCTAAAGAGACAAACTTTTGGGGAAAGCATCCTAGTATCTTTAGGATTCATCTTTTTTTCTATCTGTGCAGCTTGCTCTGGCACCAACACACTCTCTTCTCCAGCCATTTCAGACCACAGCAGATCCGTGGCATGTTCATATTGTTATCAACTATTTATGAATGACCCTGAGGTCCTTGTATTGATTAGGATGTTTTTTAGTTGCAAGTAAAAGAACCATAACTCAAACTGACTTAAGCAAGAGGATGAAATTGTTAGGAAGTTCAGGGATATTGGAAGGAGGTTTCGGGTGTGGCTGGATCCAGGGGTTCAAATGATATCACCAGGACTCCACTTCAGTTATCTCTCAGCTCTGTGCTCATCTGTGTTGTCATTGTGTTATTTTTTAAATTTATCTTTATTGTTGAAATTATTACAGATGTCCCCCTCTCGCCCCCTCCCACTGACCTCCTCCACCTGGCTCCCAGACCCCCACCCCCCAGGCCTTCACTGCACTAGTGTCTGTACTCATTTTAGATAAGCTATCTTCCTAAGTTGACAAGAAGTCCCCCTGGGAGTGCTTGCCTCATACTCTATCACTTTAACCAAGACCATGCCTAATAAAAAAAAAATAGTAGAAAAGCTTCAAATATTTACTAAAAGCTAAATTTTGAGTCAAGAAAAAAATCAGAATATGTCACGTGAATAATCTAGTTGAGAGTATTTCTAGAAAAGTCCGAAGATCTGGCAACAATGGTCCTTCATTGGCAAATGGTAACCATGGCCTGGCTCCTTAGAGGCGCTCTGTTGAGACAGGGCATACACTCCCGAGTTTATGACCATCTCTCCCCCACCCTGTTGTCTCCCAAACTCTAGAGCCAGGCATTAGTTGTCATTTCTCGCCATGCTTTCATCATTGTTTTTGTTTCAGAAGGGAAGTGTTTTTTTATATCCACATCTTTTTAAAAAGTGTGTTAATTAGTGAACATGGAGAGAGACCTGTGGTTTTTCTACACCTGCTCCACTGTAGTTACGTGCATTGGCTTCTGAGGGCACAGAAGTGTGAGCCACCATGGGAGAGTAATCCTACTTTGATGATGTGGTGGGCGGGAGAATTAGTGGCGCTTGCAGAACCAGGATCAGGGGTTGACAAAGCAATGCAGATAGAATGAAGGCATGTGTTCACCCACAAGTTGAATATCCCACCTCCACCTCACCCAAAACTGAATCCTCCACCCAACATTTGGTCCAAAGCTAAATTGGCAGCTCTTGGTGAGTGTCCAAGGGCACATGTGTAGGAAATGCATTTCTCATCTCTCAAGTTGGCCATCCTCTTGGGATGGAGAGAAAGTGATCTCTAACTATTTTAAGAAAGCAATGCCTCATTTGCTGAGTGCTTTCAACAAGAGAGCTTCCTTTATGGGATTGGAATGACTCATTGGGTGCTTTTTGCCTAGGACCAGCAAAAATAATATATCTTTATATCTTTTGTATAAACTCTGGCAACCAAAACAAGGACTCAGGTTCACAATGGGAACCACAAAATGCAAATTTAGTACTATTGGTTGTTTCCTTGGATTCCTCCATTATCCAGGATCTTGACTGGCCCTTTATTTGGTATAGAGGCCACTGTTGTTAACCCTTTTGAACATTCAGAAGAAAGAGTATTATTCCTCCACTTCCGAGGTGAAGGAACTTGATTCTGGAAAGGTTGAATGGCATGCCTGAATGTGCCTCGGCAGGTGTAAGCAGACTAACTTCACCAGCTTTCTACTAAACTCCTGGAAAGGGGAAACCAAGGGACTTCTGCTCTGACAAAGCTCCATGCTGGAACCCCTCCCTTCAGTATTTAACTATAATTAGCGAGAACCATCCATATGGCAACAGTTCTCAGGCCAGATGGGTGGTTGTCAGGCGGCACATGATCTTTGCTTCACTTTGAAGGAGACATGAGTAATTCTGGGGATATTAATCCAACCAGGGCTATATTTATCTCCATTTCTTGGGATGGAAGTACATCTCTATTTCTTCTCTAGGCACCAGTGGGTACAGGCACAAGCACCAAGATAGTCCTGCCTGGTGTCCAAGGAAGTAGGATGCCTCCACTCTGTGGTTCCTACCTGATTCCACAGATTCACCCTCTAGTGGCCTCGGCCACCCTCAGA